TAGGAATGTATTAGAAATGATTTGAATACTAGCTCTTTATGGAACCTGGAATATTATGGCTAGGATTTATGAAACAAATCCATCCAAACTTTCATTTGCTCTAATGATTCCATATCTAGTGATATAGCAAATACTAAAAGCATCTATAGAAATTCACTGCAAATGATTTTACTATAGGAATGCATTAGAAATGATTTGAATACTAGCTCTTTATGGAACCTGGAATATCATGGCTAGGATTTATGAAACAAATCCATCCAAACTTTCATTCCCTCTAATGATTCCACATCTATGTTATAGCAAATACTAAAAGCATTTATAAAAATTCAGTGGAAATGATTTTACTATAGGAATGCATTGAAAATCAGGAAAAAAGGAATTGTTAGTGGTCAGGAATGAATTCAAGCATTACTGATAAAATAGGGATATTTTTATATGTTTAATGTAAATGCATTGCTAATGATTTTACTATAGGAATACATTGAAAATGAGAAAAAGGGATTGTCAGTGGTCAGGAATGAATGTAAACATTACTGATAAAATAGGGCTATTGTATGTATAATGTATATACATTGCTAATGATTTTACTATAGGAATGCATTGAAAATCAGTTCATATGTTTTATGTTAATTTAGTCTCACTAAGAACTCCACAATTGTAGCCTTGTGACATACACTTAAAAAAAAAAAACTTTTGTTATCAAGTGATAGCTTATTAGTTAGTCTTGCAAATCTTTGTTAATTCTGTAAAGAAACATCCTCAATACTGTAAAAGCTGTTCTTAGTTTCTTTGTATGTGCATATTATGGGATGTGCCCTGTGCAGCTTTCTGAGCGACTTAGTGAAAAAAAATCTCAAAAGCAATTGACAGTGATTTTATATTTCATTTTAAGCATCTCACCTTGAATGAGAAAAACTGAGAAAAAGCTGAGGAGAGAGTTACAGCTTTGTATGTATCTTCTTTAATAACGTATCCTTGTGCCTGACTTAGTCAAGTAAATATTCATCTCGGGAAGCCTGTCTATTTCAATATCAGAGCAATGATTTCATCTCTTGAGTAGAACTATTTATGTCACTGATTGATTATCGATCTGATTCAATCAATCAGCTAATCAATATGCATGTCTCATACCGTCTTGGTCAATTCTTATTCGTCGAAGAATTTGATTTCTACTTCTTGCACAACAATTCTTACTGAAATGTTTATTCCAGAAATTTAACACTTAATTGACAACCCTTCCACATTTTACAAAAGCTTTACTTGATATTAACAATGGCCTACTGCACTTTCGACATCATACTTATTATAAAACCCAGTTAGTGTGTGTGTGTGTGTCTGTACGTTTATATATTGGATAGGATTTCCTATATTTTTAAACCGATTTCAACAAAACTTCACAGGACTACGTAAAATTACCTTGCGGTGGTTCTGACAGTGCCAAAAATTGGAAAAAAAACAATTGTTTTTGCATGAAATCAATTTAAAAACACGAGAATTAAAGGGGGACAACTCATATCGAGTTATACTTATTATAAAACCCAGGTTGTTTGTGTGTGTGTGTGTGCATTTATATATGGATCAGATTTCCTACATTTTTCAACCGATTTCAACAATTCACTTTTTTTTTTTGGCAGTTAGTGTTTCTTATTGTCTTGCACACTTTTTTTATTTTTACATTCAGAATGCTTTAAAAATTCCATTTACAAGACAATTGTTTATAATAAAATTCTATTCAATCGGTAGACTCATAACAATTGAAAACAATGTTTTTGTTTGAGTTTGATCAATTCATAAAAAAAACAGAAAAAAACAAAACAAAAAAAAAACAAAAAAAGTAAAACAAAAAAAACAAACAAACCCCCCCCCAAAAAAAACAAAACTAATTAAGACATGCATGTCCGTCAACCTTAAACAATAATCTTTGTCAATTTTATTTTTCAGTCTTTATGATGGTCGATACTTGATCTATCTCTTACTGTTACAACCCCAGCAATGCCGGGCTCTACTGCTAGTTACAAATAAACTTCTTTATTTGCACTATTTATATTCAAACTATTGTCCTTATCTTTGTTGTTATTACAACTGTTAACTATGCTGATTCTTGTGGTCTTACCTCGGATTGAACTCACCATCCTTGGCTAACAAATTCCCGAAGATATCAGACTCCCACTCCTCAGCTTAATGGATGTGTTCTAAGCAGTGGCAGTAGCAGGTTTGTCTCCCTTCCTTGCCAAAGTGGATTTAACCTTTAGACATTATTTAAGTTTATAGAAATTTCTCCTCGGTGAACATTTTTCTGGTGAAGTGCTGTCACTCAGTTTATTGAGCAAGATCCTGTTTTAACAACAATGTTTTGATCTGGGTAACCTCACGGAAATTCTAAACTGAGCCCTTTATTTAATCTATGGGGATAAACTGTTTTCGTTCCACAGCTCATGTCTATGGATATCATCTAGTTGTTATTTTTATTTAGTACTGTTGCTCACCCATACACACTGCTCGACCTAGGGATTGAACTCATAAGCACTATGTTTTGATATTCACTAGTCCTGGCTATGATGATAAACCATATCCAGCAGCAAGGCCTCTGATTGAGAGATTGGAGGTGTTGAGGAGCATGGAAACAACTCTAAATTACTGTTATTCCCAGGTCCACCCTGACCCGTGGTGGTAGCACCTGTTAAGATTCCAGTAATGGGTAGTGTTTTGATTTTTGTTTGGTGATTCACCAAGAAAGTATAAAAATACATTATGGTAAAAATACCAGCAAAAATATTTATAAACAAAATGACCAGTAGTAATACATTTCTTTATACAAAAGGACAATCAATACAGCAGTAAAGTATAAAAATACATTTTTGTAGTAAAATTACCAGCAATAGATTTTGTCATCTATAAATTATATATCTAAAAAACATATTTTTGTGACATATGATGGCCATTAATAATTAAGATAACAGTATTTAATTACAAAAACAAATAAATACTCAACAAGAACAAAGAAGTAAAAGTCAACTAAAGATAATTAACCATTTCAGTGAATACCTTGTTAGTAGCGCGGCTCGGCTTAACGTTTGGTAAATCCTAAATCAAAACCCAAATCATCGGTGCAGAATAAATCACACTAGTTCGACTGGATAGTTCCATTTATTAGTCACTCAATAATCACTACAGTCAGTAGCCTGACGCTGCTATTTATACACCTGGCAGAAAAATATTCATGAGTCCAAAGTGTCACGCTCACACCTTGGTGTCGGTAGTTACTCATTTTCTTTCTCTATGACACACGTTTACCTTGAAAGTATAAAATTATGTAAAAAATATCTGTAATTGAAGCCATAAAATTGTGTAAAAATATTTAGATTTCGGCATTAAATAACCCATAGAGCTGTTGATATGCCATTAAAAAAAAAAAAACAACTAAACCAACCAAATTCACAACCAACACTTTTACCCACTAGGCCACTGTCCCATAAGACAATAGTGTAAATATAAATAGTGTAAATGATGCTAACTCCTCATCCCAGAAATTCAGACAGAAGGCAATGAGGCAATAATAACAAAGATGAGGATATTAGTCTAAATATAAATAGTGTAAATCATGATAACTCTTCATCACAGAAATTCAGACAGAAGGGGATTAGGTGATAATAACAAAGATGAAGACAATAGTCTAAATATAAATAATGTAAATAATGATAACTCCTCATCCCAGAAATTCAGGCAGAATCATCATTTCTTTATAATGTTTACAATCATATTGTTTTTAATTGATCCATAATTTGGATTTCAAGAGGTACACCTTTCACTGAGACTTCAATTCTCACTTACTGCCACAGGAAATCCCTCTACCATGCCGTAATCACATTTTTGTTTTAGCTATTGTTCAAGCCAAGGCTATAAAACCCAGTCTGTTGTGCTATTCAACCCATAGCCCGAGGGAGAAAAGATGGATTCATTCCTTACCCAAGGTTATTTATATGTAAGTGAATGTAACAAACCTGACTGGAATTTGAACTTGGCTCTCCAATTTCTCATTCCAAGCTGATATTCATTTCACCACCATGCATATCCCAATACAAGACCTAAAAGCCACTCAAGGTAGAGTTCCTGAATGAGGTTGTTTTATGGACCTATGAATTATAGATTATAAGAAAATGCAGAATATAAATAACCATCTAGGTTTGAAGAGGTTAAAATTGCAGTGGTCTAGGAACGAGTCTGTTCCACAAACTAGCAGCCCGTGCGATGGAGCCTGTTCCACAAACTAGCAGCCTTTGGAAATTTCCTGTTCCACAAACTTTGCAGCCCGTGCAATGGAGCCTGTTCCTGAAACTAGCAGCCCGTGCAATGGAGCCTGTTCCACAAACTAGCAGCCTTGCGATGGAGCCTGTTCCACAAACTAGCAGCCCGTGCGAGACAAAAGCCTGTTCCACAAACTAGCAGCCCGTCTGCTCATGGAGCCTGTTCCATAAACTAGCAGCCCAGATGGAGCCTGTTCCACAAACTAGCAGCCCGTGCGATGGAGCCTGTTCCACAAACTAGCAGCCCGTGCGATGGAGCCTGTTCCACAAACTAGCAGCCCGTGCGATGTAGTCTTTTCAAATGATCTACCTTCTAGCTTCCTTACATTAAGAAGCTCGTAATGTTGTATCTGCTGTGGAAAGAGGGTTGTAGGTTGGAAAATAATTCATCACTAACAAGGCCACATTTTATGTGAATTGGGCTACTAAACTTGATGTCAACCACAGTTCATATCCTGCCTGTACTGCTGCTGCATTTTTTTTCCCCCACTATCGCAAGCCAACTGTATTGACCATCTCATATTGGACAGACGTAATATAGAAGTTGTCATGATGAGCCATATAAAGAGTGAAATAATATTATCAGATAGACAAGAAATGATATGGAATAATAAAAATGAAAAATATGGTTCTCAGTATGAGCTGGTCAAAAAAATAATTGGCAAACAAGTGTGAATCAAGACAACAGGAGTAGAATTAGAACAGAGAAGGTGGGGAGGAAGCGAGAGAGAGGCAGAACAGAGGAAGAGGGGAGGAATGCTGAAAGAGGGAAGGGAAGAGGAGAGAGGCAAAAACAGAGGAGGACAGGGAAAGAATGCTGAAGGAGGGGAGAGACACAGAACAGAAGAAATGCTGATTGAAGCAGAGAGAGGAAAGAGGCAGAACAGAGGTGGAAGGGAGAAATGTTATGAGAGGGAGAGAGGTGGAGAGAGGCAGAACAGATGACATAGGGGAGAGATGTAGAACAGAGGGGAGAGAGAAAGCAAACTGAAGGAGGGAGAGGGGCAGAACAGAAGAGGAGGAGGGTAGAGCAAAAATAGGAAAGGATGGAGAGAATCTGAGAGAGGAGGAGGAAGGAAGGAAACAAGGGATAAAGGGAGGTTGTTAGTTAAGGGAAAAATGAGAGAAAAAAACAGAAGGAGAAAAATTAAGAAAAGAGATAAATAGTGGACACACATTATATATATATATATATATATATATATATATATATATATATATATACACCTACTTATCAACACAAGACTAAGGTAAAATGTGCAAATGAAATGCAAATCAGCAGAAATGGATTAAGCAGGAGATTAAGAGAGGCGAACAGATACTTGAAGAGCAGCTGATAGGCTGGAATAAATACAAAGACCATTTTTTTTTTCGGCTATTTGCAACTCTAAAACCAATCTTAGAGGAAATGAATCAAGCCAAAGGAATAAAAGTTCCAAAAGTCAGTCAAGAAGGGTTGCTCAAAAAGGTCAAGCAGAAAGAGTGCAAATGCTCCAGCTTACAAATAAAGTCACCCTTCTGCCCACCTCCCCCAAATACATGGACATAAATACAAGTTTAAAAGGCAGGAAGAGAAAGAAAAAGATCCTGAAGAATTTGCTTGAAAGGTCAAGTAGCAGTTCAAGAAAATCTGCAGAAGGGTCTTGTGTTCTTTCTGATTTCGAAGGAAGAATAATCAAATTCCTGCTTTACTCACTCGTAAGGAAAGTGCTTAAGAAATGAGACAATTGTTCGATGTGCCTTAAGCTTTTTTTTTTTTTTTTAACTTTGGATAGTTTTTGAGGAGTGGAATGAGAAGTGGTGAAAGAAAACTCAGAAAATGGCATTTGCAAACAGTTAGGGTGCTGACATAATTTTTGCACCTATGACTTTGAGAAAAGCAATGATTGGGTTCAAGCCTGACGTTTGATCATTATTATATGACTAGGGCTCATTGAGAAGTGAGTACTAGTTCAAATTATAAGGTCACAGTAGTTCAAGTTATAAGGTCCAATTTCCCAGAGTCAAGCAGACAAAACATTAATTTTTTTTTTCTTTTAATGGTATTACAACTTTATAGTTATTTAACACCATGACATGTAGCAAGAATAGAAGGGTCACAGCTTCCATGTCAAGTCTTATTCAGCAAGCTCACTTCAAGGAAATGACAACATGGTTGCCATCTTCAAAGAAACAAGAATGAACTCAAAACAACACTGAAAACCAGTGGATTTGAGCCTAAATCATCTGAAACAAAAACTTGAGACTGTACCAACTGGCAGTGTTAAATCACTATTCAAACAAAAAAAGAGAAAAGGAAGAGGTCAATTGACAAGAGAGAAAGGCTCGACAAAATCAACTTTCACTAACATTACTATGTAGTGAATGACATCCGCTCTTCCATGCAAGAATTGGCCTACTTAGAATCAATGCTATCACTATGAAGGAAGCAATCAGTAAAAGAAATTAAATTCTTGGATAAGAGATGAAGCCATCAGCACTGCTGCCAAATACTACAATTTATTTAATATGCAATATTTCCATTTTCAGTTTTATTTTTATGGTTTATCAACCCTTTGTAGATTATTTAACGTAGCTGAAACATTTGGGATTGTAAAGATGATTATTATTTTTATTTTTCTGCAAATATTAAGTTTTTTTGGTGACATGAATTTTCCAGATATATATCCTACTATTTAACCCATAGCTGGGAGTAAAAAAATTAATTCATATCTTTCTCAAGATTATTTGCACATAAGTGAATGTAAAGAATATAAATAAAGTGAAGAAACAGAATAAAGAACACAACAAAAACATATATGGTATTGTGACGGTTACACACCTGGCCCAGTGTCGGATCCTTTGGTTACGGCGCCAACGGTGACGTTGCTCCTCCTGGTCGCTCCTCCTGGGTCCAAGCGTGCCGCTCCAACCCTTTGGTCAGATGATCACCAGCCTCGCCTTTCCCGACTCGCTTCCAATACCTGGTCACTAAAGCAACTATACCGATCTCCGGTCTGTCTACCCACGCTGTGTTTAGATCTTAGACAGACGGGACCAGCAGGGATCGGGGCCGATACAAGTTGAGTCCGACGGGGGTGGCAAAACACAAATAAAATAAAACTCACGAGACAAAAAAAATTGCTGATAAAAAAAATGGGTAACAACCTTTTATATCTTAATGTCCGTTACATAAAAAACAAAATTGTTCTCATTTCCCGACCCGCTCTGTGGACTATGGCACCAAGCTTCTATCACACAACCTAAAATTTCGAATTGCCTACTTTTTAGAATTGTATGTATGTCGGAGTGTGGTTTGGTTCGACACTGGGGCTAATTTCTATCGATCATTCGCAGTTGATTCTTCTCTCCGACTTGAGTTGTATTTCTTCTTCTTCGTCGGGCTGGAAGTTTTCTTGTTTCAACTTGGGCTGGAAGTTCTTCTCTTGTCTTCGAGGGTTCTTTTCTCGCTCGACTTTCTTCTGAAAGGATCTCTTGTCTTCGAACTTCTTCTTGGGGCTTTCTCGACTTGGGCTGGCAATTTTCTTCTTCATCTACTTGGCTGGAAGTTCTCTTGTCTTCGACTTGGGCTGGAAGGATTTCTTGTCTGAGGATTCTTCAGCCCGCAAAGGGGCTGTCGTCGGGCCCGATGGCCCTTCAGGCTCTATCCCCTGCCCGCGGTCCAACTGCAACTCCAACTCAACTCAACTGATTTCTGTCGACTGGGGTCCTGCTTTTATTGACGCCGCAACAAACTGGGGTGGGTCTGTCGGCGTCAGGGTTTTCTCGATAATTCCAAAAGCTGCATTAATTTGTTTTCTCCATTATCGCTATTGTTTTCGCCCCTACTTCCTCACAGTGCCTTTGGTGGGGGGGCGCACATCCATCTCTCTTAGTCTCTCGTATGTCAGGTGACCGTTTTTCGACCAATGGTTCCTGATCGAGCATTTCTTTCTCTTTTTTTTCGCAGCAGATCGTTTTCGTCCAATGGACCGTGATTCCGACCAATTGTTCCGCAGTCACGTGATCGTATTCGACATCCTTTCTCCTCTGTTTGCGGGCGTGGTTACATCGTTCTTGTTTTAAAAAAAACAAAATCCAATTTTTTTTTTTTTTTGCACGTACGCAAAAAATGACAATCTTTGGCTTTCTCTCACCTGGACTTTGTCAAACAGCCCGCCGCTAATTAGTCTTGACTTTAGAAAGGATCTTTTCCGCCTTCTTGGCGCCCTCTGTGAGCCAAAACAATTGTCCCTTTTTTTACCTCTTTGTTTTTTTTCAGACCTGATAGTCAGAAAATCTTAATTATCTACTTTGAAAATGTCTCCACTTTATCAATGTGGGGGTTCTAATTTTTTAACAGGTCAGAATCTGTATATCGTTCCACCGGTCACTCCCCTCAACCCAAAAGACACTTTTTCTCTGATTAAAATTTCGTTTCATTGTTCTAAAAAAAAGTTCCCTTTATCCAAATTGATAAGGTGTCTTTCCACGCAAAAAGTAGGCTAGATGCTTTGACCGATATCTGGTTCTTATCCCGTTTTGATATCTTTTTTTTCCTTTCTTTCTTTTTATTATTTCTAATTCTATTCTTCCAATTGTCTTTCTGAATTCCTATCAACATGCTAGCAAAGATATCTTTCTGTCTCGTGTTTTTTGTTAATGACCTTTTTTTTGTATTTCCTTCCTTTTTCTTTTTCCTTCCTTCTTCTTCCTTTAGGATCGTCCAAGTACAATCTTAGTGAATTATTTTCAACTCAATTATTTTCCGTTTTAAAAAAAAAATTAACAACCTGTTTAATAAACCGAGTAAGAAAAATTAAATCATATTTCTAGGAATATTTCTAATAATGCAAGGTGCCACAGTATAGATATGTATCAGACAAAAGAGATGCTGTTGGAAAAGCAATACCTCAGCAATGTAAACACATGCGAATGAAGATGAACATAAATTGGGGAAAGGAAAAAAAAATTGTTAATTCTTTATTTATATAAGGCATTTGTAGATTTTAAGCAAAACACACAGTGAATGACATTCTGCTGTTTATATAGCAAGAGGAAGAAAGAACCTAGGCTCTGGGAGGCAAAAACAATCTAAAAAACCTGTACTTAATTAGTATTAAATATAAAGGTATCATTTAAGAATGTAGGCTAAAAAACCATGAATTTACTTAAATAAAAATCTATAAAAATTACCTTTTTATATAAAAATCCCAATATTTTTTTTCAAGAAAGAAAGTAAAGAAAAAACAAAAAAATATGAAAGATTCAATCGGAAAGGATAAAAACAAAGAAAAATAAAGGAAAAGAAATCGTCCTTTTAAAAAGAATGAAACTCTGGACCAACTCCAAAAAGAAAAAGGAAAAACAGACAGAAAATTAGAGAAAGAAAAGTCATTTCAAAGCATGTGAATAACAATTTGATAGATTGAAAGAAAAAATGAATGAATTAACAAAAAAAGATAAATGAATAAAAAAAAAATTTGAACTACATTCAAGTATGTGTGTTGAACTGAATATATATATTAGCTATATATATATATATATATATTATTTGAGAAGAAATGGTTTTTAAATTTTAAACACCCTTCTCAAAATTATGAGATTTTAATTTGAAAGTGGTTTTTGCCAATAGATCCTGTATTTCTTTTTAATGATTTCAGACAATGATGTTTTTAAAATGTTTTTTAAACTGAATTCTCCATAAAAGGAGAGAAGACTTTTTAAATGAGGAGAAAGACACAATAAAAGAACAGGTTTCAGGAAAAAAGAAGATGGCAATAATGAGACTAAAACAAAAAGAAATCCAAAATTTTTCATAATTTTTATTTTCCCAAAAGAGTTTCAATCTTGTCAAAGACCATCTTCAGAGGTTAAATATCTATGAATAAAGTTAACACCATAAATTTCAATTTTTCCCCCATATAAAAGGGGAGGACACTTACTGTGATTTTTTAAAAGATTTTTTTAATTGTAGTATTTCGATTTAGTATTTTTTATAAACACTTTGATATTGCATCAGTTTTGCCATCAAGATAAGATTAAATCTTAAAATTATAAAAGACCCTTTTTTAGCTTCAGAATTGCTGCTTCAAAATAAAATACAACTTTTGACATAGCAACAAAAGTTCTTAAATGTTAATAGATATGCAAAACCCAAACTGTTCTGTAAGATGAAATTTAAAGTTTGGACTTGGGGAAAATAAAATTATTTCAAAGAAAACTTTCCTTTTTTTAATTCTGTCATTTTAGCCATAAGGAAATTTCATTCATGGAATTGAAAAGATTAAAATTTCCCAATGAATATTTGACATAAAACATCTAAAATAATTTAAATCGAAAAACAATTTAATTATATATATATATATATATATATATATATATATATATGCTTTTTATTATATAGATGGAAATGAGGATTGTTATATAAAAAAATTATCAAGGACTAAAGGAGCGGATTGTGTCTAAAATGAAACAAAATGTCCCTCTGAGTGTTGAAAAATTAAATGTTCACTTTCTATATATAAATATATAAATGAAAATTAAAACACAAAAAACAAAGAAAAATATTATTCTGTTTACAAATTTTCTTTTTTTTAAATATAGAATCATACATTGCTCCCTTCAATTAAAACTCACAAAATAAAGAAAGATATCATTTATATAAATCTATTTACCTCTGTCCATGTAGAATTCTCTAATTCAATTTCTCTATGTCTCTCCATCTTATCCAGTAATTAATTCAATCAAGACAAATATAACTGTACATGCTGAGCCTGTCCAATCAATTCATTTAGGAAAATTTTCAAAATAAATATAAATATCTGCTTATTGTCTTCTGTCCAAGAAGAAGAATCAATAAATTTAGATTTGTGAAATTAATTTTTTTTTGGGATTCTTTCATTCAATCCCTTAAAAAAAAAAATAAAAGAGAAAGAAGAAAAAAATTTTCATTGTTTTTCAGATTCAAGTTAAAAAAGAAAGTTTTTGAATGAAAGAAAGAGTAAAAACACAATGAAATAAAAAATAAATTTTGGCGAAAGAAAGAAAGAAAAAAATAAAGAGAAAAAAATTGACTAGAAAAAAACAAAATTTGTTCTTCTATCAATATAATCAACCTTTTCTCATCATCAAAAAAGAAAGGGAAAGAAAGAAAAAAGGAAAGAAAGAAGAAAGCCCGTGAAGTTCAGAAACCCAAGAAAAGATGCCACTAAAGGCAAAAAAAAGGCATCAGAAAAAAGAAAGAGGAAAAATTTGGGAAAGATGAAAAAAAGAGGAAAGAGAAAGAGGAAAGATGTACGCCTTTTTTTCTATTTTACCATGGCTGTCTCTCAAAGAAAACATATAAAAGAAAAGTTGAAAAAGAAAGAAAGAGGAAAGAGAAAGAAAAAGGAAAATTATAAAAAAAAAAAAAACAATCAAGAAAAGGAAAGAAAAATTATAAAAAAAAAAAAAAAAGAAAGAAAAGAAAATAAAAAAACAAAGAAAGAGATAAATCCTGTTCAAACGAAAAGAAAATTTTAAAGAAAGAAAAGAAAAAAAAAAAAAAAGAGAAGAAAAATGAAAAAAAGAATTTATCTAAAGTTAAAGAAAGAGAGAAAGAAAAAATTTCAAAAAATGAAGAAAAAAATTTTTCCTGAAGAGAAGGAAACAAAAAAGAAGAAAACTTTTTGTGAAATTAAAAAAAAAAAGAAAGAAGAGAAGGAAAGGGAAAGAAAAGAAAAATAAATCTGCTAATGTGAATTCAAAAAAAGAAAAATACCATAAAAAAGCGAAGAAATTGAAAAAGAAAAAGAAAGAAAGTTTCTACAGAAAAACCATTAAAGAATGGAGAGAAAAAATAAATTTTTTAATATCTCGAATAGAAGAAAAAAAATAAAGAAAAAATTTTCCCCAGAATGAATTTTTTTTGAAAATGGTTAGAAGAAAAAAAAAAAATAATAAAAAAAAAAGAAAAGAAAAAAAAAAAGGTAATAATAGCTTCATAGTAATTGTTCTAATGAACCCTCCTCCTTGGTACCTCTTGAACTTAATTAGACATCTAACAACTCATCATTTACTGAATGAAATATATAGATGTAACAAAAAATTCTATTCTAAAATTTAATTTTCATTGAAATTTCCCACCCTGTGAAACAAATCCAGGGTTTTTTTTCCCTGCTGCCAAAATATTAAAAAATTTAAAGGCAAAGATCAATTATTTAAATATCATAAATAGTGTTCATTTAAATTTTTCTTTTAAATAATTGTTCATTAAATGTCCATATAATCCCTAAAAAATTGATAAAAAATAAATTCGGACAAAAATTTGAAAAGAAAAAAAAAAAGAATGATGAAAAAAAAGAAAAAATTTGAGAAATAACAAAAAGAAAAAAAGAAATAAAATGAAAAGGAGAAATGTGTTTTCTTTATTTTGAAAAAGGTTACAAACAGACAAAAATGGTACTAAGTTAAAAGGAATAGTAAACATGGGCATAGATGAAATTAATTTTTTTTTATAAAAGAGAATACACTATCTAAAAGACATTTTTATCAAGTTAAAGCTAGTATTTCCAAACAAGTCCTCCAGGTATATCTTGTGATTACTATAAATATCTACTGATATAGTCAGTCCATATTTTTTTGCAATAGGGTTTTCATTCCATTACAACAGAAAGAAAAAAGAATTTTTTATAAAAAAAGAAAAAATAAACAAAATAAAAAAACGAAAGAAAGTAAAAAAGAAAAAATTTTTCAAAAAACAAAAAGAAAAAGAGAAAGACAGAAAAAGTAAAAAAAGAAGAAAAAGTAAAAAAAAGAAGAAAAAGATCTAAGAAAAAAGAAAAGTAAAAAAGAAAACAAAAAAAGATTTCACTCTCAAAAGATTTTATAACAGAAGAAAAAATAGAAAAGTGAATTCGTTGAAAGATGAATAAAAATAAATTTACTTAAAAAAAAAAGCAACTTTATGCAGTTTGAAATGGTTGAGATCCAATTATAGCACTTTGAAAATAATTCAACAGATGTTGGAGGCTTGTCTGAAATTCGAAGATATTTTTTATTTTGCATTATTTTCAGTCAGACTAATGTCATCATTTTTGTTGTTATAATCACAACATTTTGACCATTGTGTACACCAGCTTTCTTCAGATATCTGTCAACACAGGTAATTTAGGTGAATCCTTTATTAAATCTATGGGGATAGTGTGTTCCCATTCTACTGTCCATATCTAGTGATATCTCATTATGTTTTTTCTAGTCCTGGGTGTGAAATAAACTATAAAAATCAAAAAATCCAGATTGAGAAAATTGGAAATTTTTGAGGAGTTAAATAACCACCATTTAATTGTTTTGTTCACAAGTCCACCCTGACCCTGGGTGGTAACACTTGTTCTCAAATGGATTCTCGCAAAGAATGGCCATAGAACAACTAATTGACAGTTGAGACAATAGTGTCTGGGCATGATAAAATCTGATACAATATTTTAGGGTCCCAGCTATGGGTAAATAGTGAACACCCAAAACACTAGGAAAGTATAAAAATACATTTTTATAGTAAAATGAGCAACAAAAGATTTTTAAAGCAAAACAACCAATACATTTTATCTGTAGTTGGAGCCAGAAAATTGCATTCAATCTATTTAAATTCCAGCCTTAAATAGCCAATTCATAACATTAATCCATATAATATCGTACAATTTCTTTCAAACTGTATTCCAAAATATAACTACCACAAAACCACACAAATCATCTACCATGTATTCAATTGTGAAAGCAGAATAACATATATTTTTATTACTTAAAACAAAATGACCAGCAATAGATTTTATCCTAGAATTAGCAACAGTACATTTTTTAAAAAAATGACCAACAACATATTTTATCTGAAGCTGAAAGTATACAACAGCATTCAAAGTATATTAAGTTGAAGCCATAAAATTTTGTTCAAAGTATTTAGCTTTTGGCATTGAATAACCCATAGAGGTGTTTATATACCACTAAACAAAATCAACCAAGCAAAATGGAAGTACTCTTTCATGACATTTAATCCATGTAATATCGTACAATTTCTTAAATCAAACTATATTCCAAAATATAATTTCAACTACAACATAAAACACACATATCACCACTTCTAGTAATTATGTCTACACAAACATGTATATGCACAAAAGCTGAGCATCATCTACCATGTATTCAATTGTGAAAGCAGAATAACATATCATATTTCTCTTACTTCAAAGCTCCCAACAATATTATATTTCAGCAGTAAAAAGTTGATATACCATTAAATGATCAAATCAATCAATCATGTTCTTTCATCTTGTTTATTGTTCTTTTGAAAAATAGATCACAGAATTAAAATGTTCGTTTGTTTATTGAAGAGCTGCCTGATCAATGGCAACAAGTCATCACAAATAATGGTAAACATATAACTGAATAAAATGTAATTGCAATTTATTTTTTCAAGAATATGGCTAGTAAACAAAAATGGAAATCAAGCTAACAAAATCCTGAAAGATCTAGCAAGGACAGTTCTTATCGACGGAAATGGCCCAATACAAGACCCTGGAGCCACTTAAGGTAGAGGGTTACTGTGTAGTGTTGTAGGAGTGTGTCAAAGGTAAGAAGTCGAGTTCATGATTTTAAGCAGGAAAGATAATGGTTAACTTTCAAATTGAAGAGAGCAAGATTAAAATGATTGAAAAAAACACTCACCCAGGAGTCTGCTTCACAAAGCAGTAGTTCTTGGGAAGAAACTGTTCAAGTGGAACTTCCTCCTTACTATTGGAATATGAAATGGGGATGATTCATCTTTGTCTAAGTGGCATGGGTAGTCCCAACTGCAAAGCCCAACAGAAGTGGGACCAAAAAATACAGTTCACCAGAACACATGCCATAGAAATAGTGATAGAATAGCAACAAACTGGCATTGTTTTATCTGTTGGAAAAGGGTTGTAGGTTGGAAAATAATTCATCACCCACAAGGCATTGCAGATGCTTTTGAACTATCAAAACAGGTAAGTAAGGCCTGGGTACTCCATTTTTGGTCTGATCTGGCTCTTGTAAAGATACACTCTGGTGCAAATTAATTGAAACAAAATGAAGAATGCCATTATTATTTACTTTTCTTTTGTATTTTTCCAATGAAACATGGCCCAGTGCACATGTTAGTACTTTGTATGTCCATTCCATGAAATTGTTCTTTGCAGATTGACCACAGATTCTCAAATGGATTTTCGCAAACAATGTCCACAGGACAACTAACTGACAGTTGAGACAATAGTGTCTGAGCATGATAAAAATCTGATTTGGTTTGCTTTGTTTTATGGCATCTCAACCACAATGGGTTATTTAATGCTGACAAAATTTCCTTTTTTTTTTCAAAAATGTATAGCTGGTAATATTTTTTTAAAAAAATGTATATTATGGTTTGTTTTGTGGCATATTAACCTCAATGGGTTATTTAATGCTGACAAGATTTTTATTTCTGGTAATATTTTCTTTTTTCAAATATTTATTGCTGATACTAAATTTTTGAAAAGTATTTCTGGTATTGGAATCTATTTTTACACTTTCATAGTGTTTTGAGTCAGATTGCGGGGTCAACTATTTGCCCATAGCTGGAACCCTAAGTCAGGGTAGACCTAGGAACACCAGCAATTAAGAGGTTGTTCCACGCTCCTCAAAACCTCCTTGCTGCTGGATGTAGTTTATCGTCTTACTCAGGATGCAGATATAGTTTATCGTCATACCCTAGATGGGATAAAAATCTGATACAATATTTTTCAAGGCCAAACAAATTTCATCATACACCTTGAAAACAGATTCATATTACTGCACACCATTGCAAATGACCTAATCTGAGGAAAAAGTAGAAAATCGATTACACCAGTGGATCTAAAACTGACCGTATGGTGAAAGAAAGGTAACTAAAGAAGTTTCTTCAATTAATTTGCACAAATGTAGAGTATAGCAAGCAGAGAAGTCAGATACTTACTGGAATGATATGATGAATCAACCATTTTTCCAACATCTTTAACAATAGATCAAATATACAAGTTCCATTTGAGGTCTGGGGAAAGCTTGAGTCCCAACAGACGTTCGATGCAAGGAACCCCCTTGAGAGAAGACACTACCATCTTGACGGGTGAAGTTTCAGGAATTGCTTTTTGATTTTTTTGAATAATTTAAAGCAAGGCAATGAAGCTGTTGTGGCCTGTTAGGGGCCAGAAAGAAAGATACGGAAAGATGAAGGTAGGTTGAACAAGTGTATTGAAATAACAGAACATATATACAAAATAAGAGTTTTATTAGTCAGCAGATAGAAGTGTCCATCTGAACTATCAGGTTACACTGCATCCCGACTGCCTCCTTAGGAAGTCTTGCAGGTTAGTATTTATGAAGGAGGAAGAGTTCATTCTAATGTAGATAGGTCACCATAACAGAAGCTAAGGAAATAAAGCCACTAAGTTGCATGTGGTTACTGATTGTGAGAGAATATGAGAAAAAGAAAACATTATTAAGGAGAGTGAACAATAAAAGAACAGGAATCAAGAAAACAAAAGATAATGATTGACATTGCATTTAAATAATTGCAAATCAATAAACAGGAAAAAATTTCCACAAGCAAGAAGGGCAAGAGAAGAAACCGTTAACATAGAACTTATGGTTATATCGAGTACTGCACTAAAATTTGTCAAGTCAAGGTATCCAAGAAGAACAATTACCATGAAAATATTTAGAAGAAATATACATTATGGCAATGGGAAAGTGACTGAAGCTGAAATGACAGATCAGGACCAATAACATTGCAAATTCTTCTTTGGATTTTATCAAAAATAAGCACTAGACGAGATGTGATAGCAATATTCAAATAGTAGACTTCTAAATATGCAAGATAGATTCTGGCAAGAACTTTAGTCTGAGAAGTCTCAAGGAGTCACTCTGCTGGAGGTTAGCATCAGTCATGCTGATGGGAGTCAAAAAAGGGTTCCCTAAGAGGATTAAAAGTAAGAAGTTACATTCTGAAAACATTGACATTAACAAGCCATTTCTTGCCCCTGTTAACAGATTGAAAGTAATTTTTGAGATCAGCTGCCAATTTGATCTTATCTAACCTATTAGCAGGGCTGGCTGAATGTACTGGCAATTCAGTCGGTTGTCTGGAGCACCATCATGGCTGAGGGGATTCATGCCCCCATGAAAAATGTTTGGGACCAAAAAAAAAAAAAAAAAGATTGAAAATTCTTTATTTAAGATTTTGACAGTTATAAAGTTTCAATATGAACACATGGAGATTTTTAAATAACCTGAAAGATCTACCAGGTAAAAATATACTCTAAGTAGCATGTCAAGGTTTGGCGAATAAGGTATTAAGAAAATAACGAAATTAATGGATGTGCTCTCCTGACTGAATTAAATATTGCAAAAGAATTATTTCTTCAAGATCAAAAGCTTCCAATAGAAGACTCATAAAAACTAAAAAAAGTTACAGAATGTCATATCAAATCTGTGGATTGCATTAAGAACAATGGCTATTATACCCATTACTATGGCCACCGGAGTGAAAAAAGGTTTAGTAAACTAAAGCTTATAAAAACATACTTGTGGCTATCCATGACTCAAGACAGATTAAATTCTTTGACTATTTTGTCAATAGAAAATGATCTTGTAAAGAAGAAAGGGTGCAGAAAGTGTCATGAAAAGATTTGCAGATCTAAAGAATAGAAAAAAATGTGTTTTAAGTCAGAAAATGAATGTTTTCTTACATTGTATATTGTAATAAACTTGTTATTCTACATTTTCAGTTTTTCTTCTTGTGACAATTTTTTAAAATGCTGATTTTTAAATAAAGTTCTGCTTGCCCAGAGTGACAGCATTTAAGAGATAGCCTTTTTTAAACAAAGTAAAACCTAGTTTAGATTATCAAATTTTTGGGTCCTTTTTTGGCCTGATTATAAAAGATTGGAGGTCATCCATTTTGAGAACAAATTTTTGTTAATTTTGTCAATAGAAAATGGTCTTGTAAAGAAGACAGGATTAAAAAGGTAAATGAAAAGATTTGCAGATCTAAAGGCTAGAAAATGTTTAAGATAGATAATGAATGTTATATTAGTGTCTTTGTCAAATGAAATAATTGATGTTAAAACATATTCATTTTTACATATCTATTGTTGTTTTCTCCATTTTTTTTTTATGGACTCATTCCAAGTCCACCATGAAGAAAGAGCCATTTCAGGAGAGAATGTTTGTCTCAAATGCGCTTAACCAGCCTTAAAAACATCTGTCCTCCTTACCTATTGTGAATTGATTGAATCAGGAGTTATTCTTAAATGCTTTTTATAAAAGATTTTAAGCAAGGTATATAATATTTATTTTATATTTCAAAGTGGCAGATAACTATAAAAAAAGAAGTTTGTGTTTGGGATCTTACAAAAAAACATACTTATATCATCCATGACTCAAGACAAATTAAATTCTTTGGCTATTTTGTCAATAGAAAATGATCTTGTAAAGAAGATAGGCATAGAAAGTGCCATGAAAAGATTTGCAGATCTAAAAGATAGAAAAATATTTTAGATAGGATAATGAATGTTTTCTTAAGTTGTATATTGTAATAAACTTGTCATTCTACATTTTCAGTTTTTCTCCTTGTGAAAATTAAAAAAAAAAAAAAAATACTTGTAAGGGTACCAAAGTTCAGTTTGTTGAGCATGCCAGCAACTCAAGGGCTGGCCCTGCCTATTAGACTTACCTTTAAGTCAGAATTAAATAGCTATGTCATCAGCAAAGATACAGAGTTTATTGTGGAATTATTATATAATGAACACTTTAAATTCCTTGGTGTATGGATCAGTTACAATAAATTTAGTATAAGCAATAAAGAAATCAAAGATAGAATAGGTTGCACTAAAAGTAGTTTCACACAACACCACAGATTGCTACAAAACCAAAATATTAACTTAAATGCTAAAGTCATGATCTTAAATAGTGTCATTACATCAGAACTTTCTTATAGATGCCATGCATGGCACCAAATTTGCTCAGAAATATTTAAACCATCAGCAGTACACAACAGCTAGGATCTATGGTTAAAAATGATTGAATAAAGTATATCTGCACAGAACATCCTATTTTGAACCTTGTGGTCTGCTGCTACAGAATCACAAACAAAAAACTGTACCAAATAACAAAGACCATTTTACTTGAGGATTTTAAACAACAGCTAAAATAAATAGCACATGAAACTTGAATGAATAATGACATCATCAAGATGTTGACGTTTCACACAATTTCAAACAAAAGGCTAGGAAGGAAACCTCCCATCAATACTGGAAAAACCAATAACTATCACTGAATTTGAGAAGCTTATTTTCCTGGTTGGTTTATTGATTTTGTTTAGAGGCATATCAACTATGTATTATTTAATGCCAAAATCTAAATATTTTGTACATAATTGTATGCCTTCAAATACAAATACAATGTATTGTTGGTAATTTTACTGTAAATTGGTATTGCTGGAATTTTTTTTATATAAAATGTACTGCTGTTAATTTTACTATAAAAATGTACTTTTTATACTTTTATAGCATTTTGTTTTTGTTTGGCAGTTCACTATTTTCCCAGTTGGACTGGTAGCTCATCAAGACTAAAGACATCAGTCTACCTTGTTATTTAATCAATATCTTCGGTTTGGTTTGGTGTTTTACAGCTCTTTTGGGTCATTTAATGCTGAAAATCTTGAGGTCTGGGGGTGAGCTTTATTCCCAATAAGCATTCGAGGCCTTCCAAAAGGAGCAAAAGTCCTTAAGTGCCACATTCCTTCAGAATATAAGTAATCTCTTCACATTTTTTTCTGTTAATATCTGTAAACTCTGTTTGCCATAATTGTTCTTGGCAAAGAGCAGAGAATGACTTGTTTGACTGTTTTTTTTTTTTTCCATGGCTTTGAATTCAGAGTTTTTCTTCTATTAGACTGGTAGCTAAACATGACTAAAGACATCAGTCTACCTTGTTATTTAATCAATATCTTGGGTTTGGTTTGATGTGTTACAGCACTTTTGGGTCATCGAGTGCAGAAAATCATTTTTATTCAATAGTATTTTAGTAAGTTTTATAATTCATGAAGTATAGTTGAAAACTGGTTGTATAACTAATCTATAGGTGAAATTGTCTTGGTTAAAGTTTGGGATATAATTTAGTTCTCAAGTAGATCAAAATGGCTTTTTGCATTTATGTTTTTTAAAAGGTTATTCACTTTATAAAGGCATTTAGAGATTGAGGCAAATTCGGCAAATTCAGCATCATAAAATTTTATACTGTATATGTCTCCTGGCATATGATGTATTTATTGACTCTAGCATAAACCAGACCTAGGTCTACCTTTTATTAACTCTAGCATAGACCAAACATATATCGACCTTTTTGACTCTAGCATAAATATGACTTATGCCTACTTATCTATCTCACTCTAGCATAAGCCAGATGTAGGTCTACCATTTTTGACTCAAACATAAACCGGAACTATGTCCACCTATCAATTAATTCATTGTGAATTTTCTCCACTAAAACTTATAGCCATCATAAAATGACACAACAAGTGCTGCTAAGTCGTTAAATTAACTGATCAAAATTGCCCACTGAAACCCGGCACATGACAAAATCGTTTTATTAATGTGTAAATTTATAAACAGCTCAGTGAAAAGGATAATGTTAAGTATTAAAATGTCACTGCCTTTGAAATCTTAACTATTTACTCTCTCCAATTCAATTTTCTTATCATCAAATAGAAAACTTGTACTCATCTTATTATTAAGGTAACCTCTAATGAATGAGTAATTTAATTAACCTGTTAATTATATGTAGACATGAACAAAGGTTTTTATCCCAAACAAACATTGACATCATGCTTCATTTTTGCCAAGTTGCACACTTGCTGAACAAACTACTGACTAATAAGCCTTTGCTAATTAATAAAATGATTTTCAATTAACAGGATTGCAAATGATTTTATTAATAGCAGCAGACAGGAAAATTAACTTGCAACAGAGAAGGCTGGAAAATACAAATTTTCTTCTGTTGAACAATTGAAAAAAAAATAGGTAAACCAAGATTAATAATACATTTACATTTTTTATTTTAAGCATATCATTGGTTAAGGCAAAAAGCCACTAATTGACAAGAAGTTACTAATTGAAATAATACGAAAAATTAAAACATTTTTAAGAATGAGAAAATAGAAAATTAATCAAGAAAAAAGTAAAATAATGATTGACATTGCATTTAAGGTTTTTTATTTTTGGCTGGAAAAATTTTAGACAGAACAAAAAGGTCTAAAAGTGAAAAGTGATGAATAAAGAAAACAATAGCATAGAACTTGCAGTTATCAGGTCATCCCATAAGTTCCGTCCGAATTTTAACTTTTTGTTAAAATGAACGAAATTTAAAAAAGTATTTTATAATGTCTAATGGAGCTGAACATTATTTTTATGTTTAGTTGCATTTAAACTGATCAAATTTTATTTCAGTGAACAATAAAATTAAATTTTGTTTGATTAAAACCCTGCTAACATGGAAGTACCCAAGAATCATTTGAGGCACATAATGCTTTATGAGTTCAAGAAAGGAAACTCAGCAGCCGAAGCGGCTAGAAACATTCACTCAGTTTATGGAGAGGAATGTGTGAATGAAAGAACTTGCAGAAGATGGTTTGCAAAATTCAGAGGTGGAGATTTCACCCTTGAAGATGAAGATCGAACCGGACGTCCAGTTGAGTTTGATGAAAAGCTTCTTGAAGCAGCCCTTGAAGAAAATCCTGCTTTATCAGTTGAGGAATTGGCAGTGGTTCTCAGTTCAAACCATACAACTGTTCATCATCATCTTCAACAACTTGGAAAAGTTCCTAAACTTGGAAAATGGGTGCCTCATGAATTGTCTGAAAACAACCTCAAATCCTGTTTGACATCTGCTCTTCTCTCCATTCTCGCCAACTTGTTTCACCTTTTTTGGATAGACTTGTGACTGGCGACGTAAAATGGATCTTTTATCAAAATGTTAAGCGTTGTAGACAGTGGCTTGGTAAAGGGGAAGGACCCCAGCCACAGCCAAGAAAGGAACTTCATGGGCAAAAGGTTCTTCTTTCAATCAGGTGGGATCACCAAGGAATAATCGGCTTTGAATTCTTACCACCTAATGCAACAATTAATGCTCAAATATACTGTCAGCAATTAGAGCGTTTGACCTAAGCTTTGAGGAAAAAAAATACCTGCTCTAGTGAATTGAAAAGGGGTGATGTTTCATCAGGACAATGTGTGACCCCACACTGCAAGAATCATGTCACAAAAGATCAAAGAACTTGGTTGGGAGAAAATTCCTCATCCACCTTATTCTCCCGATCTTGCTCCTTCAGACTACCATTTGTTTCGTAGCTTACAGAATCATTTGGAAGAAACTGCTTTTGTAACACAGGAAGAGGTTAAAACTGACATTTGTGAGTTCTTCGAATCAAAGCCAAAAAAATACAGTAATGGAATTAGTAAGCTTGTTAA